CTCTCCGAGGTGGACAGAGAGGCCCGGGAGAGCTCGAAGCCACTCGGTGGCCTCCTTTGTGGTCGCTCACAATGGGGACCGCGGGCAGACTTGGCTTTCGTGCCTGGGAAGGATGAGACCAAAGGCTGACCCGAAAGCCAGCGACCGCCAAGAGGAGTGAAATGAATGGGCGAAAAGGAGCCTTCTTTCTCTGCTCTGCACTCAGGCCTTGCCAGCCATTGAAATGGCACCACGGTGGCTGTTCTCTGAACCCATTTCACTGGCGTTCCTTTGGGTTATTTTTTTTCTCTCTCTCTCTCTCCCTTCTTTAGACAAAGATTTGCAGCTCCCTTCAGGATTCAACTGCAACTTCGATTTCCCCGAGGAGGCCTGCGGCTGGATCTACGACCACGCCAAGTGGCTCCGGAGCACCTGGGCCAGCAGCACCAGCCCCAACGACCGCACGTTCCCAGGTAAGCCGGCTGCGAGTGCAGAGAGGAGAGCGTTCATGCTCGCCTTCCCCACGCTCTCCACTCAGACCCTCGGGCAGGCTTCCTAACTTCCCAGCACAGAGCAACCCTCTGCCCTTTGCCCGCAAACCACCACGGTCTTCGCTCACGACGTCACCCCCCAGAATAGCGGGTTGGTGGTTCCTGCCCTCGCCTGTGATTACAGGACGGCCTGGGAGCTGGGCAGGAGGGAGAGAGGCCAAGATAAAAGAAGAGGAAGGAAGGAAGGAAGGAAGGGCCGTGGGGAGGTCTAGGAGATGCCATGAGTCAATGTCCCCGTGTTCCCGGCCGGTCCTCACTGCCAGCATCACAGCCTCTTGTCAGGCTGGGTATTGTTCCTAAAGTGGCCCGTCAGGAAGCCGTGGGCCGAGAGTCGGCCTTACCTTCTCCCAGGGTGGCATGGCTTCTGTGGCGAGCCCTGTGGAGGGCCTGAACGCCGCCATGCCCACCGGTGTCTAGGAGAGCCACCTGGCGCTGTCCTGCAGAGTCCAAGTCCGAAAGCCTCTGGCCCCTGGACCTGAGGCGTTGCCTGGGCCCTTTCAGTGATGGTGAACCTATGACACTCATTTTTTTGGTTGATTTTTCTTTGCTAAATAGCATTTAAATATATAAAATAAATATCAAAAATGTAAGTCTTTGTTTTACTATGGTTGCAAATATCAACAAATTTCTATAGGTGACACGGCACCAGAGTGAAGTTAGGGTTTTTCAAAATGCTAGCACGCCGAGCTCAAAAGGTTCGCCATCTCTGGAATAGATAGAAGCAGGTCATCTGCCATGTCCGGGGCTGCACGCGGCTACAGGGATGTTCTGGTAGATGCTTCCAAGCAGCTCTCTGAGGATGAAAAGGCCTGCTTTGCACTGAGGGCCACCCTCAGGGTTGCAGTTCCTCCTGCTGTAGCTGAACTCAAGCCACCAGCCATCAGTGGGCGGGC